TAGTGTATTTTTTCTGTCGCATGTTGTTTGAGCTTGTAAAAGCAGGGTGTCCCAGAGAGATATAATTCTGTGTTATGGATATCTGATAGCCTGGTCAATCAGTGAGGCTCGGGAACCTGCTGAGGCATGCTGGGAGAACTATTAAATATCTCAGCCACTTCTTGTTCCATCTCTTCCCTTCTGGGGTTTTGCCCTATGAGGAAGTCAACTTAGATTGTATCCTAGGCCTTGGGTCTAGGTACATGGAGAGATGCAGGGATTTCCCATTCTGGGAGGAACCTCTGAAGGTGTTGGCTGCTGAAACACAAGGGCATATGGCCATGAGGAAACAAGAAGCTTGTGCCCCCCCCCCACACATGGAGATGTGGTGAGTGATAGTTTAGTTGGAAAGTTAGACACATGAACCTTCCTATATTTGCCTACCATTGTGAGACTGTGAAGTCCTTCTGGAGGATGTGGAGAACCCTTCCTAAACTTGTTACCAGACACTCGGCCACCTGCTACTCACACAGTGGACTTGGCTACAGGCTACACAAGTGAGGAGGCAACCCTTGGGGTATAAATAGTGTAGGGGCGTCCCACATCCACTCTACCATCCATGAAGCGTCAACTTACCAGGTGTCCTGCAAAATTGGCAGTGAGAGTGCTCCTAAAGCTTTCCACTCTCAGGATATTTCACCTGTCTACTTAAACAAATTCACCTGCCGAATGGAGACCTGGGGTTATGGCCCCAATATCTACAAGGATAGATTAGTTGTAAAAAGACCTGGAAAGCCTGAACTGATCTGTTCAGATACTGTTATGAACAAGGATGGCTGTCCTGCTAAAGTCAGTGACCCATCCTACTGCCGTGTTTCCCCAAAAATAAGACACTGTCTTATATTTTTTTTGGCTCAAAAAAAAACACACAAGGTCTTATTTTCGGGTAGGTCTTTTTTGGTTTTTTTTATGTACAACAATCAAAACTTATTCAGGTACAAAAATATGGTGATCAGGGCAATCAGGGGTGCCGTACATTTCCAAGAGCAATTTGCTAACCAAATCACTGGCCAGAATGAGCGGAGCGCGCTTTCACTATCCATTCCTCACAGGCGGAGTGCATTTGTTATGACTCCGCCTGTGACAGGAGTTTGCGCTATAGAGGAGGCATCAGCTTATGCGGCTCTGCTCCCTCCGGTGCCGCCTCGCTTCCTCTAGCGCTGGCTTCGTTGGCACCGCTGATTCTCTCCTGCCTCTCCCGCGGCTCTTCAAGTTCCCCCTTATGCCACCACCGGCCCTGGGAAGAGTCACAACTAGGTCTTATTTTTGGGGTAGGTCTTATATTTTAGCAATTCCCAAAAATAGTACTAGGTCTTATTTTCGGGATAGGTCTTATTTTTGGGGAAATAGGGTATGTGTAGTGTGCAGGGAGCATCCCCTGTCCAGTAAGGACTTTGGCCTTAAAATCTACTATCCTAGGCTCTCCGTTGTTGCTATGGCTGTGTGCATTCATTTTTCTATTAGCAACCAAGTCCAGCCTCTACACTGGAGGGAGAGTGTACTGTTGGGAACCAGTTCTAAGTAGAAGCCCTTAGCCACATTTGCTGTGTGTGCAGAGAGAACAGTTAAAGAGTTCTTGGACTGGGAGCAGTAGGCCCCATGTTATTTTGATGTTTTTAATTAAGGATGCATTCTTACAGAAGACAGACAACCTACAAGCAAGAACTAAACGTTTGTGATTGCACTTTTATGGACTTGCTGCTATTTTGGAGTTGTGGCCATTAGGAGCACTAGATTTTTACAGACAAATTAGACTTCTACATTTTAGTTTTAGAAATGCCAATGCCTTAAAGGAGAACTATGAGGTGAGTGATTTTCACTCATCCTCATAGTTCTAGCCGACCTGTGACAGGTCAGCTCAGTAGATCGGGAAGTGAGCGAACACATACCGGCGCTCGCTCACTTCTCGATCCTGTCACTACAGAGAGCCGTGACAGGGGAAGGACTGGATTCCCCCCTTCACTGTCCGATCCTCCAGCGCTGACTGGCGGAACGGACGGGGGAGGGGGCGGGTACAGCTGGCTCTGCCTCTAGATAGGCAGAGCCAGCTGTCACTCACGCAGCTGGGCGGATCTAGACATAATTGTCGGGATCCGTTTCAGCTGCGGTGCCTCAGTATACTGAGCCTAGGGTGACGGGAGGACGCTAGTTTGTGTCCTCCCGTTACCCTAAGGAGAACTATGGGGAAAAGCCCTAACCCCATAGTTCTCCTTTAATGATGCCATTTAAGCAATATACTCTAAGCGGCGTTGCTCCACTGTTATTTTGTACTATTGTGTTCTTTTACAGATGTGGATGCACAAAATGTGATTTGTACATTTTGTAATGTGATGCCATTTGTATGTATTTAGATAGAAACAGGATATGTCAGGGAAAAGGTAATGTGACTACTGACAGTGATTTCTATTGTACTTGCAAAGTTTTGTAGAATTTTACAATTTAATGTGTTTTCATAAGTTGTTGTAATGCACTGTTTTCCTTTTAGACCCCTTCCCCATGCTTGTGTAAGTGGACAGGATATCCTAGATTTTATACACAATTTTGTATATGATTTTTGGTAGAAGAATTGCAAGGGAACAAGTTATTTTGAGCAGGAGAAGAATGAACGGATGTAGTATTTTTACTAAATGTAATTTTTGTGAATTCTGTAGCCAGCAGTGGGCTGTATCCAACCTAACTTTTTCTCAGCAGTAGGGTTTCTCTAAGGACAGAGTGTATTTTCCTTGCCAAATGTTTCTGAACTTGCTCCAGCAGGGTATGCTAAAGAGATATGATTCTGTGTTATGGATATCTGATAATCAGGCCAATCAGTGGGCATGGGAAACTGCTGAGGCATGGTTGAAGAACTATTAAATATCTAAGCAACTTCCTGCTCTGTTTCTTCCCTCGTGGGCTTTAACCCTATGAGGATGTCAGCTTGGAGGTCAGTCTGACCTACTCCTTGGGTCTAGGTACATGGATAGATGCAGGGATGTCCCCTTCTAGAAGGAACCCCTGAAAGTGTTGGCTACTTGAAGATAAGTGCATATGGCCTTGATGAAACAAGCTGATTCTGCCCCCTGCATATGGAGATGTGGTGAATGATAGTTAAGATGGAATTTGTACACGGGAACCTTACTATGTTTGCGTTCCTTGGAAGTTAAGTTTGAGATACCACTAATGAGAGACATAGAAGAGATTGAGGCCTAGTCTAATGACAGAACGAGTATACTACTGGGTATCCTGATCCTCACCTCACCCTCCTTCTTATATTGCCCTGTGAAATAAACCTTTTTTTATTTTAAATCACTAATGTGACTAGCGCCTTTTAACTCTGAATAACAAGAGAAAAGAACCACACCTCCGGTGAATGTTTCTGGGACTTTGTTGTGAGTAAATGGACTTAGAGCATTTGAAATGTAGCTCTTTCATAGCTGAAGATCAATATTCTTGTTTAACTATTGAAGATCCCTTCAATTTGAGCCCAACATAGGACCTTAAAGGGTGTTGCCTGAAGCAACCACAAGTTGAAATTGGAATTTCATTAGAAGTTGAGTTGTGCTTTATGGACTATCATATTTATGCAGAGGCATCTTCAGAGTGTTTTTGAGCTTTTGTGATTGGATTTTTGCTTTCTGGAACCTTTGCCCCGTCACTGAAGAGATGATTTTGGTGCAAACCCACCATGTATGCAAGATTTGAGTATGTCTGAGAGAACGTGGGAGGAGCTACCACCTTGTTCAGAACAGTTAGACCATGCAGAGTTATGGAGAGAGGAAGGCGCAGTGAGGGTGAGTACTGGTCAGTGGTAGCAAACATGTCTTATGTGTATTGCTACTTTGCACCCAGCCCAGTTGAAAGTGTGACTACTCAGATGAGTATGAGTAGTGTGCAGGGAGGATCCCCTGTATGGTATGGACATGGAGTACTGGATAGAGCTGCTGGGGTTACAGAAAAAAAGCTTGCTGGTAGACACTGGAGTCAGGACGTTTCCATGTGTGCAAATAGCACTATGTCCAGTAAAAGGCTTTGAGGTCCTTGAGAGCTCTTCCTGAATTTTTTACAAGACAGAAGACACCCAACAACCTGCAACTTACACAGTGGACTGGGCAACAGGCTACACGAGTGAGGAGATGACCCCTGCAGAGTCTGAGTGTTTTACATCTGCTGAACCATCCATCAAGAGTCAAGCTATCAGGTGTCCTAAAATAAGGGCAGTGAGCCTGGGTCCATCTGATGTTTGTGCTAAATTCAGGTACTCCTGAGGTCACGATCAAGGCACCTTTGACCTTCCTACAGCTAATGTTGTACCACTAAGCAACAGAACTTGCCAGAGGAGGGGAGAGCGGGGTAACCATTAGCCCAGGGACCATTGTTGGCCCCATAGGGGAGAAAATGTAGGAGGTGAATTCGGACTTACTTATCAATGTATTCTGTAAATGTTTGTTCTATTCCAATATGCTTATTGCAGATTTTGTGTACAGAAAAATTGTATAACATTTAAGAACAGTAAAAAATATTGTAGAACCGTCACTAATTGGAGTAATCTGATGTCATTGTATACATCCTTTATATGATATGTGTTAATAAAGAACATAAAAATCACATCTCACTTGTGGTTTGTCATTGAATTAAGGCAAGAATATATAGCACTTTCCAAATAAATTATATTCACATTTAAACCTTAAAATATGTCTGCTGTGTATACAAAAACAAGAAAAAGCATAAAAGGATATTGGTTTCATCTTCATTCATAGACTGTATGCATAGGCAAAACTTTTTCAGTTTTGGATAGAGTACGGAAAGGTTTACACCCGTCAGGTTGTTTTTTGCTGTATGTGTCCTGTTGGGGAGATTTACCAACAATTCCTGTCCCAGAGATATAGCAAGAAGTAACAGTTAATGCCTAAAATGTGAAAGGAATTCCCATCTTAGATAGTTGTCCCCAGAACAGGTGTCCCCATTGGAATATTTCCCCTCGCCTTCTGTTTCCCTGTGATAACTGTAAAGTGTTGATTTCCCATCAACTTCTGTCTCAGTAACTATGTTCAGCAGGACAAATAGAGAGGGTGAATCTGCCCACGGGAGCCTTAGACAGCAATAAAAACCAGAAAGAGGTTCTAATCCTTCCATAATCAAAAACTAAAACTAAGAGTCTTGATTATACACACAATTTAACAAAAAGTTGGGATAAAAAAAAGGTTGGGCCATAGTCAAAAAGGATGAAGAAAGTCTCGGATTGAAGTAAAGAAAATGGAGTGGAGGATCTTCTGGAATGAAGTTTTTGCTGACCAAGTCTTACAGAGTGAGTGACAACAGCAATGGATGTAGAAAATTCAGGCTTCCCAAATTGCCTTGAAGATAGCGGATTTGTCTTTTAACACCCTTGTAAGTTTCTCATTAATCATGATCCAATAAAGCTTGGACATTCCAAGGGATACATTTGCAGATCTCCAGATATTTGCTCTACTCAGAGTATGAAGGGGATGGAGGATCTGCAAATGTTCAGGAATGTTCTGTAAAAAATTTTTTTTATAGATGTGCCGATACCAATTCAGATTCCAGTGCCGATACTTGGCATTTTCATGAGAACTACCAGGGTTGCAGCTGGGACCTGGCTCTGGCGATCCACCACTGTCCTGAAATCATTAGTCTGTATTGTTTTAGAAAAACTGTCACATGACAAAAAGCAAAAATGTACCAGTATTGTACTCGCAAAAACTGTATTGGTGCATCCCATAATTTGTAAAAACAAAATCATACATTATAACAGAGATGTACAAATCCCAGGAGGTCCTTGTGATCATTACAAATGACAGCGGCCTCCTAACTTTGAATTTTTCTCTAGTCTAGTCTTGGAGCGCAGAAAGACAGACACGTAGAGACTAAGCGGAGGGGCTACATGACTGGGGGGAGGAATAGTCCCGGGAGAAAGGGTTAAAAAATAAAATGGGAATAGCTGCTCTTACCTGATTGGACGTGGGAGTCAGGTGTCCGGGAGGAGCCGCATGGGAAGGGACTGCGAGGGCTGAGGGACGTCCTCTTTCTGGAAATCGACGAAGGAAGCAGGTTGTCCCACCCTCCCTCCCTGAATTTGGTGGTTATGGGGGGTTTCTTTTGTCACGGCAGCTTGGCGGGTTAGGGGGTCTTTGGGGGGTCTACAAAATCGGAGTTCATTACAAAATGTGGGGGGCCCTCAGCTGGTATGGGTGCTTCCCCCTGTTGGTGTCCGGATTTGTAAAGGGCGGGGGCCTGGCCCCTTGGGAACCCGGAAGGAGTAAGTGTCCTCGAGCTGGTTGTGGTGCGGCTGGGGACATGGGTGGAGTGTTATGAGAGGCCTTTTTTGGGCTGGCGGGCACCCAAAGACCCCTTCTCAGGTCAACCCTTGTTAAAGTATTATTTTTGTATATTTGGTTTATTACTTTGGTTATTGTTAAAGTTGTTTGTTTAATAAAAGGGCTGCTGTGGCCGTTAAAATCCATGTCGCGTAGTCCGTGTGTTTATTGGGGTTTTTAACTGAGGGACAGAAAATTGACGAATCCATCAGTCAAGTATCTGTACTTGTACTGAGTACGGTACTTGGCAATGGGGCATCCCTAATTTTTTTACTAGTTGACATTTAACGTTTTGAAAACTATCTGAAGGATAGGTAAGCTGTAAATTTGTATTGTGCAATTACAAGTCCCCTGTGTGGTTCAAAACAAGTACGCATTTTATTTTCATGATATACATTGATCATTTCAGAGCATATTTTCCAGTAAATGCTTTTTTTAAGGCCCTTTGCACCTCTTGATTCCGCAGACAGTAAATAACCGGATTAAACAGAGGGGTGAGAACACTATAGAAAATGGAAGACAGTCGTATGATATCAAAGGACTCCCCAGGATTTGGACCAATATAGTTGAAATTGCCAGCCACGTAGAATACGGTAACAACTATGATGTGGGAGGAACAAGTGGAGAAGGCCTTTTTTCTGCCTGCGGCTGAGTGGATTTTCAAAATGGTTGAAATTATCTGTGTATAGGAAGCAATGACAAATGCAAAAGGAGTTATGCCAAGAAAAATATTGAGTATGTAAAGTACCATTTGGCTGGTGTGTGTATCAGCACAAGAAGCCTTCAAAATGGGCCGAACATCACAGAAAAATTGATGAACATGCCGATGACTGCAAAAAGTCACCTTAGATGTCAATGTGGTGTGAAGAACAGAGTTCAAGAATCCACAGAACCAAGATCCTGCAACTAAGTAGGAACAGAACGCCTTGTTCATGACTACAGGGTAGAGGAGAGGATTGCATATTGCCACGTATCTGTCGTAGGCCATTGCAGCCAAGAGAAGACATTCTGACCCACCCAGAGAGACAAAAAAGTAGAGCTGAGTAAAGCAAAGGTTAAAGGACACTCTTGTGTTGCCTGTTATGGCATTGGCCAACATAGCCGGGAGGGTAGCGGTAGAGTAACAGACGTCCAATATCGATAAATAACTGAGAAAAAAGTACATTGGCGTGTGAAGATGAATGTCAATCTTGATGACGCTAAAGATGGTCAGGTTTCCAACAATTATCATAAGATAAATCATAAGGATCATCAAGGAAAAGAGAACCTGCTTATCTGAAAATCCTAACAAAACAAACCCAGTAAAGAAAGTCTGGTTTATCACTGCCATGTAATCATAAATCAAAACCTACGGTACAAAAAAAGAATTGCATCCATTTTTAAGAGCTCAACTCAATTTTAGAGATTTATTTTTACCAATTATTATGAATTGCCCCTCCCTGCTGGTGGTTGTTCAGCCTCCAGTAAGCAAACAGTGTAACCAATCAGCATGTAAGGTCCAGGTTGGTCCAATTCACCCAGCAACTGGAGCTCCTTAGGGTTCAGTAAATTAGTGAAGTGTGTAGCCAGTATGGTGATTGTCAGTGGAGATAGGGAAGTCTAAAGTCCACTATACAAAGCCTTTAGGAAAAGTTCATTTGTCATGTTGTCTTCGACTTTACAGATTACATGCTGATCACAATTTTACTCTGCTCAGCTACTGGTGTTTCTTTAGGCTTTGACTGCTGTAGAATAAATATATAAAAATCAGTTTAAAGCCCAAGTGAACCCATGTTTGTTATTACTGGAATACAGTCATGCTGCCTAAAAAGTGAAGTATGTATTAGACTTTTTTTCTTAATGTTCTAGTGCTGCAGAGCCTGGTGAAAACCCCTGTGGCGACAGAACACAGGAGATCCCGACCGCTGTTCTCAAACAGAGAGCAGCAGTCTGGATCTCTAGCACAGTCCTCCAATCCACAATATAAATGCTTCCCGAGCAGCACGGTTGATTGGAGCCCTGTGCAGGGGGCATGTTGAATTGCCAATGTCCCGCTGTGCTCTTTGTGAGTGACAACAGTGGTCTGAATCTCCAGCGTGCTGCCGGCGCATGGAGTGTTTAGCATGGGTGACAGCATTAGAACAATACAAAAGTCTGACATATCCTTTACTTTGTAGGCAGCCTGACTGCATCTCAAGAATAAAAAAAAAACATGAGTTCAATAGGACTTAAGGTGGTATAGCTGTAGGAATTCTTGGTTGCCCCTTGTTTCCAGGAGAGGAATTTCAGGGAAGTGGAGATGAGAGAGTTGGAGGTAGCTGTTCTTGATGCAGAATTTAGCAAAGTAAATGCCATTTGGTTGGGGTTACCTCTAGTTTAATTGGTGTCCTTGCTTAGCGGGGGTCCTAGGATGTCAGCTCCCACTGACTACTCTAGAACATCAACTAGAACTTATATGATCAACTCAACTCTAGGTCTCTAAGTGCCAGCTCCTGCCAGCTGCCAGTCCTCTCACCAACCAAAATAATACAGAAGGTTTCATGTACCGCTCTCCAATATCCTCCATTCAAATAAAGAAGTCACATCATCTGCCTGAGCACCTCCTGGAATTTAGGTGGGTGATGTGATTTATATGAAATAAACAATTGAGTGGAGGATATTGAAATGCAGTGCATGTATCTTTATCAGTTAAAAATTGTTACCCCTGAAACGTATTCCAGACATCTTTGTGAAGGAGACAGATACATCTGACGTCAGTGGCTGGGACCCCTTGTCTGTTTGCTGCCCAGGAATGGGAATCAATGTGTATGTTTTGCTAGATGATCACACAGAAATGTAGGTTCATCTTATCTTTCAACATGCAACACATATCTTAAAGATTGCTTATTCCTTCTGATATATACAAATCTACTGGGGTTATATTTTTATCTACTTAGAAGAAAAATGCAATAAAACTATGTTGAAGTGTATGTCCAGCCAAACCGTCCCTTGTTCCTGGGGAACAATCTGAACCCCTGTCAGGTTTTCCTGCTATCTGGGGCTCAATTAGAAAGATTTAGCCGTACTGTCTGTCATGGTAAAAAAGGCTTCACTGGACAGAAAGTGAGGGAAAAGCTGCAACAGTGGGACAGGCAGTAATAATAGGCTACAGCAGAAATAGCCAGGGGTTAGTAGCATACATTTGCCACATTCCTATGTGAAATCCACACTGCCCTGTCAAGGCTCCTTTGTATAGTGTGGTCTCTAGATTTAACAAATCTCCCATACTGATATATACTCAGCAATCAATCAATTATAGGCAGATATGCCTGGAGGTAACCAATTCCTCCTTAAAGGTGCAGAGACACACCAAAAGCACAGCACAGCCCACAACACAGGCCGCTGAAGACCTCCAGTGTATCCCAGCATCATGGACCCAAAACAAGGACCTAGCAATTGAAGATTGAACTTCTGCACTGCATAAATGTTCCAGGTCCATGACTCAATACATACTAAGCAATTAGGGCAGCATATCAGCCAGGAAATTAGCATCATCATCAGCAGAAGCTGGCAATTACGATCTTTAATATAAAAGGGAACTAAACCTAGGTGAAACGTGTTAAGGTTTTAATGTCTTCAGGTTTAGTTACCTTAGAGCTTTTGCAGAGTGATCTGGTGTCATATCTGCTACATAATGAACCGTAGGCTTTGTGACAGTGATACACTACCTGGATAGATACCTTGTGTGTGATGTAATACAAAGGCAAGTACAGATTTCTTTAATCCCGCACAGGAGCTCTGCAGCTCTGCAGAATTCTGGAAGGGTTTTTATTCACTCTTTAGATACCTTTGAGGAAAGCAGCTTCTACCCAGGAGATTCTTACCTGAGCTTAAAATACATTCAATAATTTGTTTACATTTTATTAAGATACCTAAAGGACAACCACCATCAAACCTTTCAAAAACACATGAAAAACACATTTATAGAAATTATTTTGCCTGCCAGGTTTGAAAATAATGCACTAGACAACACTAGTGGATACGATTCTGGAGAACCAGTGCCATTGCCCCATCTCCTGCCTGCTTCATAGGCGTTTAGTTAGCATCACCACACTAGTGAAGACCACATTAATTGCTCTTTACTTTGAGCTGCTGTGAGGCAAGGCTTTATGAGACAGGTCATTCCATTAGATAGACTGAAAACATGATTTGGTGACTTTAATATATAAAAAAGCTGTGTTAAAAATACATAAAAATCCCCAAGTTCCTTTTAAAGTAAACTTTTACTAAGGGATTATGGGGGCTGCTATTGCTAAACCCTGAAATTGCTAGTTGCCTTAGGGCCCTTTCACATGGGCATTCCAATCAGGTTAGTTTTACAGGTGGATCTGATCAGAATCCCAATGATAGTCTATGGGCAACCAAATGTAAATGGACGTGCGTAGTGTACATCTGATCTGATCCAGAAAGCCAAACTCTAAATTCCTTTAGGCAGACCTGATCATGTCCGGATCGGGGGTAATCTGATGTAAACAGACACATGCTCATTTACATCTGACTCCCCAAAAACCAACATGGGTCTAGTGATTTCAGTTGTTTCTTACATCACAAGATGGAGGAAAAAACTGTGACATCCGTTCCGATCAGCAGGGAATCCATGTACAGTTTCCCTGTTGTGCAGAACTGAAGGCGCCCTTGTGAATGGGGGCCTTAGTGTTATGCAAACCTCCTGGCTTCAATCATTTGAACTTGCCCAGAAAATTGTATAAGCAGTGAAAAGCAACATGTTTGCTTTGATCCCCCTATTCCCAACATAGGCATAGCTATCCTTCACTCCACCACCCCTCTGTTTAACATCAGGAGCTGAAGAAAATATCTGGTGCTTCTGAATATGAAGACAAATGTGATTCACCCCATGTGGTAACACTGGGTCAAATTGTGATAATTGGTCAAAAGCTTCACAGTATGTTAGAGCTGACTGAGGGGCAGGGTACCTTGGCAATTTTGTAGATTTGCTCCATCCATCCTTGACTGTTGGGGAAAATGCTAGATTTGGGACTCCAACAAATAGTCGGAGGTTGTTGAGAGGGACTGTTGCACACTACGGTGGTGAGCACTGTTTTATGATCTGATCCTAGAAAGAACGGTCACCAGGAATAGATCTGGCTCCACAAGCTATGAAAGTGTTAGTTGCACCTCTGAATTTATTCATGGCCTGGGAAGATGAGTGGAAGGGAGAGGCAGGATATAGGTATTTGGGCAAGCTATTTAGTAGCCAACCAAGGCAGAACACTTGTTGAATATGTACTGATACAGGGGGATTATTTGGTGCAGATGAGTTTAAGATTAATGGGGGTAATGAGAGATATTGATTTCTGTCAGGTGTGATTGGTTAAAGCACACGGAGATGAAGCATGCTCTATTCCTCCTAGATTTTTGTGTGTCCACCAAAAATCTGGGGGTCACTCTATCAAGCCCCCAAACAATCCACTGCATTTCTAGAGGTTAAAAAAACACATTTGAATTGAAACTCCAGACAAAATGTTTTAATGCTTTGGACAGAGTGGGAAAGACTTTTGATTAATAAAGACCTGACATGTTTTAACCTTTTCCTGCTCTATTGTATAAGTGTGCTTTTGTTTTTGTGCTTGTACCTATCAGAAACATAAACTATTATTTCCCATACTTGTAACACGCTGTCACTGGCACAGGAAGTGAGGGAAATCTCCGCAACAGTGACAACAGTGACGCGGACAGCAATAAAAACCTGACAACATTTCTAGTTCTCACTACCCATTCCCCATTGTAAGCTAACAAAAAATGTGTGGCTAGAGTTTGGCTTTAAGGAAATGATGGTGGTTGTGTTTTGGTAGGTGTAGGGTGCATGTGTGAAATTTATGGTAACATTAGTAACTTTTGCATGTGAATATATGATCCTAAAACTGATTACAAGGCTTATGTAGGACATCTATAAAGATATGTAGTTTACTGAACCGTTCAAAAACTTTACCAATGGTATAATGCGCTCCAAAAAATGGTTGGGTTTTATTGTAGGTGTTGTTATATGCCTGTGAGGCCTGCAGGTCCAGCAACAGCTATCAGTTAGAGAGTCTGGAATCCACCTGAGTTGACTGTCAGAGAAGGTACAGTTCACCACAGGACAGAGGAAGATGTTGGTGTGCATTAGGTTTTACGTCTGAGGAGTTTGTTGTCATTACCAGGACTACAAATGATGGGAATGGATCTTGGCTCCATGGAGTCTACTAGGTAACCTTCTTCAGATTGACTCTGTTGAGGACATTGCACAGTAGAGGACAGTAGACAAGGATCCATCAGTAAGACTTAGACCAGCGGCAGGTGAATAATAAGTCAAACAAGGTACCAAAGCGGAAGAAAGGTCATGATTTGTAGTCAAACAGAGCCCAGCAATAGACAGTGAACATAACAGGGTACCAGGAAAGAAGAGAGATTGAATTCAGAAAGCAGGTTGGCAAATCCGTAAAAACAGGGAGAACAAAACAAGGAACAACCAGAGTAGTAGAAAGACTATCCAACACTGAGCACATGTTCTAAAGTCCCTTAAATGACTGGTGCACATGCAATTGTATGTTTTCGTATTGATGAGGTGTACTGCATGGCTGCATTGAATGGGGTGTACATGTGTACACACAAAGGGTGTCTCTGGGTGGTTAACCATCATATCCCTTCTGACAATGTCCCTATTTAAAGAAGTATCAATATCATCTTAGTAAGAGGAAAAATCTATATTTTGTTTCATTTAATATGAATGAATATTTTAAGTATTTTATTTCACCATTCATATCCATTTAAGCTCCATTCATGCCTATGCGCACATGTATGTGATACATATACATATATGACCAGAAGCTTGTGGACACTTGACCATCACACCTAGAGTATATCAGCTTGTTAGACATACTATTACCAACCATGGGCATTAATATGGACTTTTGAGAAGTTCAGCCTATACTCTTCTGGGAAGGCTTCCCACAAAACTTTGGAGTGTGTCTGTGGGAATTTGTGGCCATTCAACCTAAAAAGCATTTGTGAGGTCAGGCACTGATGGTAGGCAAGAACCATGTCTTTATGAATCTGGTATTGTGCACAGGGATGCAGTCATGCTGGAACAAGATTGGAATGGCACAAATGTCTTTGTATGCTGTAGAATGAACAGTATCCTTCAATGGAAACACTTGATCTCAATCATTTGGAGGGGTGTCCACCAGATACATTTTCCCATTGAGTGTATGTGTATTGTAGTGCATTCTTATTTATTCTGAATGGCACCCCACTGCACATATACAGGTGAAACTCGAATAATTAGAATATTGTGCAAAGTTCATTTATTTCACTAATGCAACTTAAAAGGTGAAACTAATATATGAGATAGACTCATTACATGCAAAGCAAGATCATTCAAGGCGTGATTTGTCATAATTGTGATGATTATGGCTTACAGCTCATGAAAACCCCCAGAACCCCAAATCCACAACCTCAGAAAATGAGAATATTACATGCAATCAATAAAACAAGGATTGTACATAGAACAATATCGGACCTCTGAAAAGTAGAAGCATGCATATGTACTCAGTACTTGGTTTGGGCACCTTTTGCAGCAATTACTGCAATTACTTTTGCACGATATTCTAATTATTCGAGTTTCACCTGTACAGTATGCAGCATACACATGTAAGTCTATTTAATGCGGAGACGCCACTATATTCTCCCAAAGTAGTTTAGCTAATGGGGAAAAAAAAGGTATCTGGTAAAGCTTTCTAACCTCAGCAAGTGAACTAACCCATGCAGTTATAGACCTGACTCTTGATCAACTTGTGATGGACATCATACGCCTAATACCAAACTGTGGCTCCATGGTTGTGTGCAGGGGCAGATCCAGTAAAGCTGATTTACTAATGGATTCCAGAAAAAAAAAATCAAATATGTGAAGATTCACTAAACCTTTTTAAAACTGTTAGTAAATTATCTTCATTTTCTCTAGCATGGAGACCTGACCACTGTGGAAACTAAGAGAGTCGGTTGCCTCAGGCAGCATCTGGTGGGTGGGCGGCAGGCAGAGCAGCGTGGCCACAATGTTTGCAGTGTGCCTGCTGCCCTCTATACAGCCAGAGCGTTTCAGGTTGCTAAGAGCCAGGCAGGAAGATGTGTAAGGGCCATACACATCTCTCCACCCAGCTGTTAGCAGCCTGGTAAATAGGTCAAAACCGGCACTCGTAAGGGGATCTGTCCATGGTATTTAAGATATGCCATTTTGAGGATTCCTTGCTACGACTAATGCCCAGTTTTGGGGACTGAAACATGTAAGCATTTGTTTGTTTGCTGCTTTTATACCTTCTTACTAGGGTTGCACAGATACCAAGTACAGTACTCGGTACAAGTACGAGTACATGTACCGATACTTTTGAGCTCCAAGACTACACTAGAGAAAAATTCAAAAATTAGGAGGCTGCTGTCATTTGTAAGGAGCACACGGAGCTCCTGGGATTTGTACATCTCTGTTTTAATGTACGATTTTGTTTTTATAAATATAAATAAAGGGATCCACAGATACCAGTTTGGCGAGTACGAGTACTGGTACTTGCCGAGTACTTACAAGTACGAGTACTGATACATTTTTGTTTATTGTCATGTGACAGTTTTTCTAAAATAATACAGACTAATAATTTTAGGACAGTGGTGGAGTGCCAGAGCCAGGTCCCAGCTGCAACCGCTGCAACACTGGTAGTTCTCATGAAAATGCCAAGTATCTGCACTGGTACTCAAAAAGTATCTGTGCATCCCTACTTCTTACAAATAAAGTATGGGCGGATTCCCTTACGAGTGCCGGTTTTACAGGCATCTTCGAGGCAGGATCACCAGGTATCATTTTAGTGGAAGTCACAGAATTAAAAAAGATTTTAAAAAACTTTTGAAATGACATTAACATAATAAAGCTTATATTAGATTTTAGTGAGTAGGTTTACATCTCCTCTAATATATATGTCTTCATGGAGTGATTTTATTTCAATTGATTTGGGCCGTGGCAAATTGTTTACCATTTTTTCTTTGAATAATTATTTTCGGTTGCTTTCTCCCAATCATCCTGCTTAGTGCAGCTTTGAACTCCTTGTTCCTCATTGTATAAATTAGCGGATTCAACGTTGGAGTGATTACAGCGTAGACCACAGGGGTCAGCTTCTCTTGGTCGGTTACATCTTCAGAGCTTCGTCTGTAATATGCAAAGATGGAAGTGCTGTAAAACAAGGATACAACAACCAGATGAGAGGCACACGTGGAAAAGGCCTTGTGTTGTCCTCCTTTAGACCTAATTTTCAGTATGGCGGAAATAATGTGGATGTAAGATACCAAAGTCAGAACAAAAGACCCAAGTCCATAGGCCCCACCAACAACAAAGAGGATTAGCTCAGTCGTTAGCGTGTCACCACAAGCCAAATTCAACAGGGGTCGGATATCACAGAAAAATTGGCTTATGACATTAGAGGAACAGAAGGTATGTTGAAAGGTGCGGGTAGTGTGGATTGTTGAGTTGATGAAGCCACTGATCCAAGAGCTGAAGGTAAAAACTACACAAGTAGGAGGATCCATGACAGTCACATAATGCAAGGGATCACAGACGGCCACATAACGGTCATAAGCCATGACGGCAAGCAAGGAGCACTCGATGCTGCCCAAGGCTACAAATAAATACATCTGTACAGCACAGCCCATGAAGGAAATGGAATTGGTCTTAAAGATAAAATTAAGAAGCATTTTCGGAATGGTGACCGAGGTATAAAATATCTCAAGGAAAGATAGATTACTGAGGAAGAAGTACATGGGAGTGTGGAGCTCAGAACTGAATGAAGTTGTAGCAATGATAAGAACATTTCCTGTTAGGGTTAGGGCATACAGCACAAGAAAGATATAAAAGAGAGCGATCTGTACAGAGAGGAGGTCTGGAAATCCAAGGAGAAGGAACTCTGTCACCATACTGCTGTTCACCATACTCAGTCCTGAATCTCAGTCAATGAGTCCCATATGTTACAACAGACTAAGTAATTTCCCTTCACACTACAGAAAAATAAACAAAAATATAAGTTAGTTAATAAAATTGTCAACTTTTATGAAACTTTTCCATATTTGTGAAAAAGACTAGTTAATTTTTTTTAGAGAAAAGGTTTTGTTTTTTTTAAATGTCATGCTTACTGGCCCTTTAATCCGATTGCTTATTTAAGGGGGTTGTTCACGTAGGAGCCGAAAGGATCCAGCCGTAGCTTTGGCTGATCCTTCAGCTATCTTCGGCCGCCAGAGCCTTTAGTTCAGTCGAACCGAAGGGCTGCTGTATGGGCTATTTACTATAGCCCCTTACAGCAGCCGAAGGTGGCCGAGCGGCTCAGCCGATCCGAAGGCATATGCTTCGGCTTGACTGAGCCGAAGTGACACCTGAAGTGGAGCTAACGGCCTGCTGAAGGTCTACCTTTCGCCCCGCAAATGACAGCTGGGTGGAGCCAGCCATGATCACACAGCTGGCTCCGCCCAGTTGTAATGACCTGGGGACACTGATCTGTCATTAAACAATAACAACTGGGCAGAGCCGGCCGAAACTGTCACTGCTAGCACTGCCAATTGTTTGTTTGTTTTTTCTTTTTTTGTAAATCTTTCTTTTTTTACATTTAATATTGATTTACATTTTTAAAAATATTTTTTCAACTTTGTTTTTTCTTTTAAACTCTTTTCATTGATTTGCTATTCTGCTCGGTACCACGGAGGTGCTGAGCCAAATACTGCTCAGAGGCATTCGGCTATTCACTCACTGCCGTTTGGCCCCTATGAGAATAGGGGCGAACTGCAGCGAGTGAGCAGCCGGATCCAGATGTTGGATCGGCTGAGTCGAAGTCCTCCTGCACTTGGGCTCAGCAGAAGATGCAGAGCGTGTTCGGCTGACCGAAGTGCAGCCAAAGGCAGCCGATGTATGGCTGATTTCAGCCGATGTGCAGCTGAAATCAGCTGTACAAGCCAGAAGTGAATAGCCAAACAGCGTTCGGCTCACTTCACTTCGGCTGGGTTATTCACTCGGCTGCCTTCGGCAGCTTTGTGAATAGCCCCTGTGGCAGTGCATGGCAATGCCACGGTGTAGTATGGCAACTTTGGCGCCCAGGACTCTCAGCCAGAGGGGCTGAGAGGTTCCACAATGTGAATACCTTTGGAGAGGAGGAACTGGCTATTCAATTCCTTCCAGGTTTTCCAGACTATAGTGGGATGGGATCTCCAGTCCTGGGGCCAGGTGTTGCCAGGGGCCAGGTTGAGCTGATCAGGTGACTGAGAGCAGCCTTATTAGGAAGCCAGCCCAGTGCTTTAGAAGAGAGTTGTGGGTGTGCTGTAGGCACACGGCTACAGGCAGACGCTGCTGCGTGCGTGAGCACAGGTGACACAGCCAGGAAGGCTGGAGAGGTCCAGAGGGTCGGTGACCCTGAAATACCTGTCGGGGAGACAGAGAGGGACAGTGACCCGCGAGGGTGAATACCAAAAGTCTTGGAGCTGAGGGAAGCTGCTGAGGACGGTATATCCAGGGAAAGTCCTGGGACTATAACACTGGGAGTGTATGGGACAGCCAGATGTCGGTGAGACTGAAACATGATGTGTTAATGAGAGTCCAATGAACTGTTATGCTTCGTTTATGCTGAAGAAAAGCAAGTTGTTTTGTGAAGTTCATGGACTGTCCTCCTTTTGAATGAATAAAGACTGTCCTTTTTATGTTAAAGTTGGCTTCAGGAGTGGTCTCTTAGTGCTCACCATTGTGCTCAGGGCCGGTGCAAGGTGCATTTTTCCGCCCCCCCCCCCCGCACGCACGCACAGGCTGTGGAGTGTCCCTTTCCCTGCACACATGCTGTTCCTCTTACCTGCAGCTCCCCAGCCTGCTTTCAGGACATGCATCTTCTTCCTCCAGCCACAAAGCATCTTGCCGGAGCCTCCGCTGGCCGGGGCCGCGTCTCCCATGGTCCCATCTTCTGTGCCCCATATCATCCTGTGCCTCCATGTTATCCTGTGTCTTCATGTCTTCCTGTGCCTTCATACCATCCTGTGCCCTCATGTCATCCTTTGCCCCCATGTCATCCTGTGTCTCCATGCCATCCTGTGCCCCCATGTCATCCTGTGTCTCCATGCCATCCTGTGCCCCCATGCCATCCTGTGCCCCCATGTCATCCTATGCCCCCATGTCATCCTATGTCTTCGCTGCCAGTGCCAGGTCCCATTAGCAGCGAACTTTCCGGGTGGAGGAGAAGAAAAAATAGACAACCAAAGCGGCAGAAGTGTCCCCCCCGTGCTCCGGGCGGCTCCCAAGTCCCTTAACAGGTCGCCGTCGCCTCCAGGATGACGCCGCCGTTGCTCCGCCTCCTGCAGCCCTCGCTCCTTCACATGCAGCTGAGCGGCCGGGGGAACCAGGGGCGGGGCTACTTACGTCACTCACTGACGTAGCCAAGGACGAGACAGACTAAGACTGTCACTACACAGGTCAGCGCCGCTGCGGCCGGCGGGGACTCGTCCTTCAGATGCCGCCCGCAGCGGCAGCCCACACTGGTCTCGTTCGGACGGCCGGAGCCGGACTTATGCCGGGCGGCCGACTGTCAATTTTCCGCCCTGTTCCCTGGCGCCGTAAGGCAAGTGCCCATGTTGCCTTGCGCTAGCGCCGGCCCTGACTGTGCTATATTCCCCGAACTATCACACCTACCTAAGTGTATAACCAATTTTTTGGATAGAGTGCAGAAGTATTAAACCCTCTGTCAGATTTGTATTGCCATCTGTATCCCTGCTGGGGAGATTCACCCTCTCTGTGTGTCCTGGTGACCTCTGTAACTCAGAGAAAATTTGATGGCAAATCCAAAATGTTAAGAGTTGTCTCCACAACAGGAGGTGAGGGGAAATCTTCTGGTGGAGACGTCTGTTCAAGTGATAACTGTTAGAATTTCTTGGGTGTGGGGGTAGTAGCGCCTAGTAAAAACGGTTATCTAGCTTGGTGATTCCCATACAATGTTTATTGATTAAGAACGTCAAATATACTAAAAAAACATTACAGGGAAAGTTGAGCTGAGATGTCAACGTAACATTGTAGGGATGAGTGTGACTAAACTCATTTCCATGAGGGAATACTGGCACCTCAGCTCTGTTTGTCCTAAAACAGGCCTTCTTGTGAATTTTCTCTTATTTTAATAACAAACAATGTGCATAAGCCCTGAAGAAGGGTGAGGCTTTTCCCCTGAAATGCATTGGCTGTCTTTGATGTTCTTAATCAATACACATTTTATATGAACCACCAAGCTAGATGACCATTTTAACTATGCACTCCAAACCTTATACCCAAGAACACATTATCTGACATTATCTACATCCACCGCAATCAGAGTGGCAGCAGATTAGGACCATATCCAGGTCTCTATATACACTGGGGGGAATTGGTCAAAACTGAAGCAGACCTTCCAGTATCTTTCCAAATCTGGAGCAGGTTTGCATTGCAACCAATCAGCGTATCTCTCTCATTTTCAAATCTTACTTGAGCAAACTAAAGAGAGATGCTGATTGGTTGCCATGGGCAACAGCTCCGGATTCTGTTTGCTCCAGTTTGTCCCCTCCAATGTGCTTTCACTACAGGTTAACCACCTTAATGGAGAATAACCTCCACCTATTCAACTGCTCCTTGACACACATACCTAATCAGCCAATGGCTGCAACTCAATGCATTTAGGCATGTAGACATGGTCATGACGATCTGCTGAAGTTCAAACCGAGCATCAGAATGGGAAAGAAAAGGGATTTTAGTGTCTTTTAATGTGGCACGGTTGTTGGTGCCAGACGGGCTAGTCTGAGTATTTCTAAAACTTCTGATCTAATGGGATTTTCACACACAACCATCTCTCGGGTTTACAAAGAATGGTCTGAAAAAGAGAAACTATCCAGTGAGCGGCAGTTCTCTGGGTGAAAATGCCTTATTGATGTCAGAGGTCAGGGGAGAATGGCCAGACCGGTTCAAGTTAATAGAAAGGCAACAGTAACTCAAATAATCACGCGTTACATCCGAGGTATGCAGAATACCATCTCTGAACGCACAGCACGTCGAAACCTTGAATCAGATGGGCTACAGCAGTAAAAGACCACACCGGGTGCCACTGCTGTCAGCTAAACACAGAAAACTGAGGCTACAATTCTCACAGGCTCACCAAAATTGGACAATAGAAGATTGGAAAAACTGTTGCCTGGTCTGATGAGTCTTGATTTCTGCTGCAACATTCGGATGGTCAGGTCAGGATTTAGTGTAAACAACATGAAAGCATGGATCCATCCTGTCTTGTATCAACAGTTCAGGGTGGTGTTGATGGTGTAATGGTGTGGGGGATATCTTCTTGGTACACTTTTGGCCCTTAGTACCAATTGAGCATTGTTTAAATGCTACAGCCTACCTGAGTATTAATGACCACAGTGTACCCTTCTTCTGATGACTACTTCCAGCCGGATGACATGCCATCTCATAAAGCTAAAATCATCTCAAATTGGTTTCCTGAACATGATAATGAGTTCAGTATGCTCAAATGGCCTCCACATTCATAAGATCTCCATTCAATAGAACCTTTGGGATGTGGTGAAATGGGAGCTTCGTATCATGGATGTGCAGCCAACAAATCTGCCGCAACTGCGTGATGCTGCCGTGTCAATATGGACCAACTCTCTAAAGAGTGTTTACAGCACCTTGTTGAACCTATGGCATGAAGAATAACGGCAGTTCTGAAGACAAAAGGGGGTCCAACCCGGTACTAGCAAGGTGCTATGCAGCTTTGTAATCTTTTTAAATACAGAATGCAAAGAAATGATATATAATCGGGGAATACAACAAGGCACAATACTTACTTTATAGAACAAATGCAGAGTAATTGTCATGTATATCACACAAAGCGTGCGGCTTTGTAATAATTACATGAAGACAGAATGGATAGATTTTGTACTGTAACTACGGC